TTTCATCTAGTTGTTTCTAATGCTACTGTAATGGATATAATATACCATTGTAAGACAATGACAAGTTAATCAACAACGTGAAGGAATTTTGATAGATTAAATAACAATAATACATATATTCTAGCAAAAACCATCTCTAACATTGAATTACAAAAACCACAACCGAGACACACATGCCTAATATCTGGTGATTCTAAGTAGCAATACACTATAAATCTAACTAATGAAAATTAAAAAAACCAAACAAATCACTTCACTGATCATCACAGCTTTTGAGTATCTCTTCTCCACCTTCTTCACTTTCTTGTCCAAAACTCTTACCTTTCTATCCATTAATCCATTAATCCATTGTGTTCCTTCAATTGCACATTTTCTTGCAACAATTTCCCATTTTCCTCCATCAATCTTCCATTTTCCAACACAAACTCATCTTTTTCTTGCATTATTTTCTCTTTAACAACTTTGCATTCTTTATCTTTCAAAACCAACAGCAACTCCATCGCTCTACCCTCGATCCTTTCCTCACGAGCCAAGAAATGGAAGTAATTGCAAGGATCCTACATAGAAATCTTGTAAACTAAATAACCAATTGAGAAAAACCTAAACCACTGACAAAAAAGACAAAGAAATTGTATGATTGCCTTCTTCACTTTTAAACTCTATAGACTCTGCCATGCTTCCACTCTCAAATGAACTTGAACCCAAACTTGAACTCCATGTAGAACCAACTTCCATTTTATGATTCTCACAAACCCAAAATCCAAAAGACAAATAGCAAAGGATTTAGGGTTCAAGGGAAGAAGAAGGAATCACAAGGTGTAAAGGATTTAGGGTTAAAAGAAGAAGAAGGAATCAAGAGTTGCAGAGGATTTAGGGGTCGAAGAAGAAGGAATCAAGGGTTCAGAGCAGAAAGAATCAAGAGTTGTAGAGGATTTAGAGGTCGAAGAAGAAGGACTCAAAGTTTGATCTAGTTTGATCTGCAAGCATCGCTGATTGCTTTCTCGTTTTCTGGAATCATTTGGTTTTTGGAAACTAAGTAGTCAGAAACATGGAAGCAAATGTCGGAATGGTTGCCGACTCTTACCATAGGATTTAGGGGTTTTGAAGAAGAAAGGATTTAGGGGTTAAAGGGGAAAAGGAAAGAGAGAGTGAAGTGAAGTGAAGTAGAATCTGAAAAGGGAGCTTGCATCGATAAAGAGAAAGGCAATTGTTTTATTTTATTTAGAAGGCTGGAGGGGCCAAAATTAGACGTGGATTGAAATTGGTGTCGTGTCAGCAATTTGGTGTGATGGTTTTTCCACGTAAGCTTGTAAAAATTAAAAAAGGTAATTCATGGAGATTTAATGTGTCAAGAATGCAGTTCCGTGACGGAAGGACCATTTGGATTATTGAAAAATAAAGTTTAAAGACGATTTGGTCCCTTTCTAAAGTTAAAGGACAAACTAAGTTCAAAAATGAAAATTTAGGGACCAAATTAGGTATTAAACCAAAAGAAAAAAAATAGATATATACTTTGTTCCAAAAAGCTATAAAATTTCTTCATAACAAAACTAACTTAGATATGTTCTCCTAACAAGTTCTGGGGTTTCTCTCACTTTCCAGTGAGATAGATTCAATTCAAAATTCAATCTTCAGACGGTTTTCAGCTTCAATTTCACTTTTCCTGGGTAAGTTTTTATATCTCAGCGTTCAATTTATGACCTCCTCAGTTTTTTCACTGTTAGGTCTGGTAGGATTTAATGGAGCTTATTTATTACTGGTTGTAAGTTGTTTTTTTTTTTTTTTTTTTTTTTAATACTGTTCCGTTGAGGAAGTTTTACAAGATTTGGGTTTCTTGGGACATTTTTTGTTTTTGCATCTTTGTTGATTAATAATTGGGGTTTTAACTATTCTCTCCTTTGAAGCAGTTGGGTTCTTTGATTTGTGTTCTAAAGAGGTATGTTGTGATGGGATATCAAGAGTTTGATACATTGCCCAAATGGCAACAAATTTCATATTGAAGAACTAAGATGAAGCGTCCTTTTGATTGTGTGTTTTTATTTATCTTCTTGGTCAAAGCTTATTACCATTTAATTTAGCCTGGTTGAAGTTGGTGAATTTTTCTCATTTTCTTACCGACCAATATTCAATTTCTGCTGAAAATTCTCTTCAACCTTTACATAAAAATGTTATGTCGCATTC